ATATCACAAATGCCCCACCCCCCCAAAAAAAAATTAAAATTAAAAATCGTCGTGTCATATTGCGAATCTTCCTCGACAGTATCGCGTATTGAAAATGGTTGTAGGGAGGTATTTGTCCTTGACCAAGCTCTTCTTATTCACGGCGTCTTCAAATACTCAAATATTATTGAACAAACAGCGGAATGGTTGGAGTAATGTAGCAGAGTGTGGATGCAAGAGAGCGTATTGAATGTGAAGACTGTGCACCCCCTGGTACAAGAGTGCTGTTTGTCCGTCTCCCTTTCCTTGTGCCTTGAGAAGTGAGGTGCACATTTTGAGATCTGGAGTGGATCTGTCTGCATAGATAACCGTCAGAAAACTAAAATGGTAAATGCATGCATACGGTGAAAGAATTTGCACAAATATAAATTTAGGTATGGTCCTATAAATACAATTATTCGATTTGTGTAAATCATTTTAGGGAGAAAATAAGTTGGGTATGTATTATCAGAGTAGCAATGTTTATATATGAATGCCATTTATTGAAGACACAAGGACTAACTGTAAAATAGGATTTTTGAAAGTGCCATAATGGAAATTATAATCTGTAAACGGTGTGCAATACACACTACGTGATGTTGTGAAATTTCCAGTTCTGCAACTGGTAATGAAATTATCTAATAATCATATCAAAAGGGCAGAATGATCAAAGCTAGAGGTGAATGGAGTCACAAGATTTTTATCTGTAAAAGGACAGGATCCCAAAAAGACTTTACAGCAAACCCTTTGCTTTTCATGATCAAAATGTAATTAGTAAAACACACGTTGTTAATGTGGCATGAACGAATCCGGAACCGTCGCAAACGTCAAAGCCAGATGTCAACATTCAGTGAGTTGACGCACTCGTTCAAGAAGATAGGCAGCAGAAAGTTAAGGAGAATGTTATGTCTCTTAAATTTCCATGAAATTGTGAACAAGCAGCTGCTGTATCCTAAAATGTCGGCCACTTGGTTCCAAAGTAATTCGCTCAAAGATTTTTGGACGCCTCAGTAAGGCATTGCTCTCAGAGATGACAAAGCAATAATTCTTCACGTGACGAATCTTACTGGACGCTTGGGTAGGAGTGGAAGATACTGTCCTGTCCTCCACATAATGTACTTCTAGTCTGATCTGGCTTTGTCAGACTCATCTTTTTGAGCCCTGAAAGCAACGTCAACAGGAAGGAGGCTCACAGAAGTTAATGATAATATCGCAGAAGCCCGAGACTTGATACATTCTCTTGACCAACTCTTTGTTTTCGAGTTCTTATGTGCCGTAAGAATAAAGCACCCATTTTCTCAGGGACAATATGACAATATGTTGAAGTATCTGTATGGCTAAATTATATACATATACAACTGTTTTTCAGTAGCTTTTTTCACCTACCATTTTGTGCAGCCCTCGCATAATACTCATGCTATTAATCATCATAGCATTTATGATCTTTATGGAGCAGGCAGTGTTTTCCTTGTCACAAAGTCCTGTACATT